GGGGGCGGGGGGGGGGGGCGGGGGGGGTTGTTACACAGGGTTAATCAATGACTCAAATTTCCTTACAGCAGCTGGGTAGACACGGTGGGTTCCTCCTCCCCAAATCCTGAATTTGCGTCAGATTTGGTGAAAACACTGAGGATTATATAACGAGTGAATGGGTGTAGCAGATAAAACGCCCACCAGGCCCTGAGCTGTGCTGCCGCTGCTGTGAAGCTGCATACCCACAGAAACCGCAGAGATGTCCACTTGTGAGTTTGAATCCCTGGAGAAGTCTCTGGAGTCTCACCTGCCAGAGGCCGAGCTGTCAGAGGTGAAACGCATCTTATTCGGGAAGGACACAAGGTGAGTTGTCGTCAGAGTACTTGTTTATCTGTTGTGATCACTCTTTTTCTTTCACCATGCTGTTTTTATTTAGCATGTTCCTGGTAAATTATTTTTCTGCTGAGTGGACTTTGGTCAAGCAGCAGTGTTCAACATACAACCTTTAACCTGTCCAAAGAGACCATTATGCAACAAAACAGTTCAAACTTAAAACATGTAGTTTCTGTGTCCAAGTGGGCCTCCCACCTGTATATTTGCCACACACTTTTAATGGAGTGAACTGCTGAAAAGTACACAGGCAGATTTGCCATTTTATCAATAAAGTAAAAAAAAAAAAAAAAAAAAAAAAAGTGAAAAAAAACACAGTATCCCAGAATGCAATGCAAAGTAGTCATATACTTCTGCAACAGTTAAAACCCCAAGGATGTTCAATTCACCAACTAATGTACAGAAGCAAAGCAGAAAATCTACACATTTAAGAAGCTGCAACCAGCAAATGTTTGGCTAAATTTCTTGAGTGCATTAGTCAGTTTGAGTCCACTCTAAATTTCTGTTACAGACTGTAATATTCAGGACCAGGATCTCTGCTCTGTCATTTAGACGCACTGATTTCTAGGAATTGTCTAAGAAGAATACACTGAATACAGAATGCACAGAAGCCTGCAAAGGTTTAACTCACCTTTCACTATTGACTTAAAGTCCTGAGAAGCACCTAAAAAAAAAAAAAAAAAGTTTAGCATTGTTCATTACAAGGAATCAGTTCATCTTGCTTGTCCATCAATTGTGTGAGCACTCATGAAGAATCTTCTCTGTCACAGGAAGTTGGACCTCCCTGCGTGTGCTGTGGACGCTGCCTCCGAGCATGACTTTGAGTTGAAGGGTTACAGGTTTGAAGCTGCACAGGAACAACTGAGGCCACCCAGAAGGATCCGCGTGGGACTCATTCAGCACCACATAGTTCTTCCCACTGATGCCCCCATCCTGGACCAGGTTAGGACTCATGGTCATTTAAAGCCTCGTTTCCACCAAGCAGTCCTGTTCAGTACACATTAGAACAGTTATTCATCTGTTCTGTTGTGAAAAGTTGTGCATGGTACTAATAGAACCGATCTATACCGTCCACGTTTTTGGTCACTCCCCTGTTGGGGTACCGAAAAAGTGGAGCTGGAAACACTGCAGTCTGTTGATTGGTCAATAGAGAACTGTCACTCTTACTCAGGGGTGAGTTGTGGCTGGTTTTGAATATTATGTAACCACAGTTAATACCATGGCAAGTTTTTCATACATCAGTAAACAATAACTGCAAGAAGTAAGAATGTTTTGTTGCTTCTAGCAACAGCTATAGACTGAGAAAAAATAATTTAATTCACTGTGCTGACATCAGCATTTACTGGCAACTTTCAAGGTGGAATGTTTACTTGTAATGTTATTCAGTGTATGAGCATGATGCATGAGTTGATGACATGTATCAATCAACACACCTTAAATGTCAATATGAAAATTCTGAGCATTCCATTTGTTTTTATTTTCTCTCTTGGATCTTTAAGCATTTAAAAAATGTATATACATTTTAACTTGCATATATTCTAATCCTTATTTGGAGAAAAAACATGGCAGAGCGTAGTTTCAGTGTGCTCTGGCAGCACTACCACCCTGCTCTTGCTTGTAAAGGACTTAATGCACAAACCCACTTTTTTTTAAATATCCCATCAAGAGAGACTCTCACTCCAACCTGTTCTTTTTGGTTCTAAAAATGTTGGCGCCCAACCCTGTTAAATGGATAATAAACAAGGTACAGACGTTCCTCTATATCACCAGTGAGGAGGAAATACAGCAAAAGCTTGACGGAGCAGTGAGTGACAACAGCTCCGTCTACGTCTGTCTGTCTGTCTGTCTGTCTGTGGTAGAAACACCAAATGGATCTACGGTCTAGATATATGTAGGTAGGGTTCTACAGGTAGTTCCGTATACCGAATAAACTTGCAAAAACTTTCGGTATACTCAAAGTTTTTGGTGGAAATGGGGCTAAACAGCCTGGTCGTGGTCTCAGTGTGATAGAGACGAACAGGATGCTGTACATTTCATGGCATTTCTTCTTGAAGCTGTTGAGGTAAAAGTCACACTCTTGTTGTCCCCTCCACAGATCAATGCCATGCATAGCCGGATTGGTGAAATAGTTGAAGTGGCAGCCATGTGTGGTGTAAACATTGTCTGCTTTCAGGAGACCTGGAGTAGGTGCTTTAATGAGTCAGAAATACACATTACGCATTAGCCGGTAAAAGAGACTAACTTGTCTTTTGCTGTCCAATTAGCCATGCCCTTTGCTTTCTGCACCCGCGAGAAAGAACCATGGACAGAGTTTGCGGAGTCTGCTGAGGCAGGAAACACCACGCGCTTCTGCCAAGAGGTGAGATAACAGGTATGCCCCAGTGCAATGATATGCTTTACTACAGAAGCCTAATACCACTGTAATTCTGTCATTAGCTGGCCAAAAAATACAACATGGTAGTTGTTTCTCCAATTCTGGAGCGAGAGGAGCTGCACAGCACTCTGTGGAACACAGCAGTGGTGATCTCCAACTCTGGAAATGTGCTGGGAAAGAGCAGGAAGAACCATATTCCCAGGATTGGGGACTTTAATGAGGTGTGTGTGTGATTTCTGTACATGCACCTGTGTTAAGTAAGGCAAACTGCTGTGTTCACTGTATTTCTTTCACACTCAGTCTACATATTATATGGAGGGCAACACTGGCCACACAGTGTTTCAGACACAGTTTGGGAACATAGCTGTGAATATCTGCTACGGGCGCCATCACCCCCTTAACTGGTTCATGTACAGCATGAATGGAGCTGAGATTATCTTCAACCCCTCAGCTACTGTGGGAGCTCTCAGGTAAGGGACAAATGGAGTGAGTATTATTTCTGGCATGGCTGTATGAACAATTACTGCAGTAAAAATGAGCTGCTCAAATCCAATTAACCCCCTGTTTCTCCTCCTCTCTATGCAATGTGTACAGTCTTCCTGTGCTTGAATATGACTGTTTATGCTGTATGGTGATTTAACTGAACACAAATTATTTTGGAAATGCGCAACATGTAATTAATATTGTCAATATTGTGCTTTACCAAACTATACCTTTTGCTGTTGTTATATACAGTAAGGAAGTTCTTTCAATTTATGTACATTAACAGTAATATTTATTCTTATCCGCAGTGAGCCCATGTGGTCTATAGAGGCCAGGAATGCAGCAATAGCAAACCACTGTTTCACTTGCGCAATCAACCGTGTTGGGACGGTAAGTCGTCTCTATAACTGCAGTGTGGTTTGGTTAGAAAAAATTCACCATTTTTTCACCTTTTTTTTTTTTTTTTAGTAAATGCCACAAAACTGGAGATAAAAAATAAAGCAAAGAAGGCAGATCAATGTAGATGGTGAAATATGTCACAGACCTGTTTTTTCAATTAATGAAACCATTACATCATCACTGATAATAACCCTTAAGAGATTTTATACACTGCAGTGAAATCACAAAACTGAAAGTTACACAAAACCTTCCACATCCCTGAAACTGACATGACCTCGGTGTCAGTGGAAGTCATGGCCCTGCTCAGCTGCTGAACAGTCACTGTTGGTAGCTTGTGTGATTTGATGTGCATTCTCGTCTTTCACACAGGAACATTTCAAAAGTGAGTTCACATCTGGTGATGGAAAAAAAGGTAAGAGATTTATTTCCTACAATTGGGGGGGGGGGGGAAAGCTTCATTTTCTGTAAGCATCTTGAACTGATAAATTTGCACAAGTCCATTAATTTTTGAGGATAACTTGAACTTGAATACCAGATGAAACCTTACTTACCAAAAGTTAAATACATTAATTGAAAAATTAATTAAACAGCTGAGAAAATCACACGATAAATAAAATGTCTTTAACATGAATAAAGTCATAATTCAGTCGATGAATGTGTAGTTTTATAATGTTACAGTAAGTATTTTTATCCGTCAATGGTCTTACATACAGTACAGTAAGTATATGTTAATTTCCGGTGAATTATTTCAGTAATATTTCAGCTTTCCTGATTTTTGCAGCTCACCATGACTTTGGACATTTCTATGGATCCAGTTATGTGGCTGCTCCTGATGGCAGCCGCACCCCGGGGCTCTCCAGGACCCGTGACGGACTGCTGGTGGTGGAAATGGATCTCAACCTGAACAGACAAATCAGTGACAAATGGAGTTTTAAGGTAAATATTACCATAGCAGAAATGTCAGAGTCCCTGTATGTCCCATTTTGACCTGGTTGTGTTTTTTTCATTCAGTGAATTTTTTTTATGGACTAATGTTAATTGATCTGATTAATGTACCTGTCTTTGCAGATGACTGGGAGATATCCTGAGTATGCAGAGGAACTTACCAAGGCTGTCAGACATGACTTCAAACCCAATACAGTGAAGGAGTAGATAATATTCCACTATAGTTGATTAAAGTATGTAGCAAACAAAGTGCAGTTCTTTTCTTTTGATTGTCTGTGTTAATATTTGTGCTCACGTCAGACTGATGGCATTTTTTCATTGGTTTCATCACTTTGTCCCAGAAAACAAAATTCAAATCAAACCAGTGCTCTTTATACATGGATGACTAAATTTTCCTCATTTCATTTGACACAAACCTGGATTTTTCCAGAAGCTGACATAAAGATCCAATGTGTAGGATTTAGTGGTATCTAGTGGTGATGTTGCAGAACTGAAACTTTTCCTGTGTGCTGAGTGTGCAGTAGGACTATGGTGGCCAATGCAAAAATGTGAATGGCCCCATCTAGAGCAGTGTCTTATTTGTCGGTTCTGGGCTACTGTAGAACAACAGTGACCTGCTGCGTATGTAGATATAATCTAAGGTGAAGAATATACCTGGCAATAGGTGTGAAGAGCTAGCCTGTAGGATACACACACTAACATGCACACACATCTGGACCGGCTTACTACAATGAACCCCAGAGAAGCTTGATTAAAACACACACAGGGGTAGCATGACTTGTTTGTTTCTTCCTTGTGAATTGTTGTTTCCTGCTATATTAATGCTCTGAGTGTCACATACTGTACAGCTCTTTAAAATCCAAAACTGTTTGATTAAAGGTTCATTAACATTTTAACAAGTTATTTCTAGCTCAAAGACCTTGGTGACCTCACAATACAAACATATGTTGGGATACTATAAGCGCACGACAAAAATATCAGTTTTCATACCAGTTAGAACAACTTCATTATTACCTTTTTTTGATGTCAAAAAGTTTAATAAATTCAAAAGTCCTTGCCAAAGAAAAATGACTGTTTCTATGGCTCTTAAAATCTACTGTAGAGGAGATATTTGTTGTTTTTTTCATAGTTAGAATATGCTTTAGGGAAGATACAGCTGGCTCCTCAGCTTAACAATATTAAGAGTACTGGTGTCTAAGATAACTTCACTTACCATTGATAAATTTAAAAATTTGAACCAAATTAACCACATTAAAATTAGCAGGATCATATTAGCTTATCATCATGAGAGGCTACATAATAACTCAAATGAAAAACGAGACTCAGTTCTGATTTTATTTCTCCAATCTCTGGAAAAATGTCAGTATATGGTAAGGTTCAAGGTGTAAGTGCCTCGTTAAATACTCATTTACCAGAAAGAAATGACAAGGATGGAGCATATGTTCAAATCCTTTATTCACGACATATAATAAATGCAGCTCTATGTTTAATAAAAAATAAAGTTTGTGGTTTTAAATGTGCCATTTGTTCATACAAAAAAGCACAACCAGGAAGAAATCACTTTCCATAAATTCAGAAAAGCAATTTCATGGTAATTTTTGATTTTATTTAAATAACACATAATTATGTCTGGTTTGAAAAGTATAGTGCAAAATGTATACATAATACCAAAATTAAAAAACAAAACAGAGTGACAATGAGCAAATAACCTAGTTTCACCATGTTCAACAGAGAACATGATTCAACATTTACACCTTTGTTCTGCCACATGGTCAAAACATCCATACAATTTATCCGTTAATCCAGCATGTTGCCACGACACCACGACAGGAACTGTTTTGTTTTTTTCTCAGTGAAGTGAATTAAACTGATGACTTCAAGTTTCAGTACATCAGTCCACTGTCCATGTTCTTCTGCAGGCAGAGTGAGCCCCACAGACAAACTATGAGGTATTGCATTGAACTAGTTGTCATTTAATGCACATGTCACACTTTAGGGCATTAATTACCTGAGACACTCAAAACACAACTACTTCCTGTATTCCGCGTTGACAGAATCATCAGGATAAAAAGTGACAGAGGTGAGTCAGGAGGATTTTTCTAAAAGGCAAGTGGAGGTGAGGCTGGTGGCTGCTGATGAGCCTCTTAAAGACTTCAACACTGAACAGGACAAATAAACTGGATGTCATCATTGGCCCTGAATTATGTGCACACTATTTCCGGGTAATTCCTACTCTATGTCATGATTCCCACATTTCATCCACTGTAGTTTCACAAGTCTAAAATACTCACAATTTGAGATATCAATAGCTCCAATATCAGAATTTAAATTTAACAAAGACATGATGAAATCCATTTAGACCATCTGTTCATCCCCAAAACAAGTGGATAAAAAAATTAAAATTACTTAGATTACTAAAAACCCCAGTTTTTAATCCTTTAGGAGTCAAGTGGTACTGACTATATAAGAGGGAAAAAGAGCGGTGAATCTGCAGCATTCATTTCAGCAGTTGGTCTTATTAGCACCGGAGAGGATGGCCCAGGGGATCTGTGACAACAGGTGGAGCCGCTAGTCCGGGACTGTCGACCTGCAGCATCAGATCTCTACTATGATGAGTGGAGGAAGAGTGAAATCCAAACCCGTCATTGCTGTACATCAACTCTCCTTAAAGATCAACAGGATATCCTCATCTGTCCCATAGCTCCGCCGAGCCTCCTCAAAGTTACTGACGCTGGTGCAGCACACACCTGAATAACACACACACACACACAGTTCCAAACCATAGACATAACTTGTCACTACAGCAGCAGTCAGATAATTATAGTAGCTGAAGAAGCAGCTAATTGTCTTTTTCTTTTCCTTTAGCCACTCTAGCAGCATGGTAATGTCTATCTACATTTCCTCAGTGTCACATTGACTACATTTATATGCACAAAATATTCTGGAGTTTGTCCTTATTTTGAAAAAGACAAAATTCTTGCTAAGCTGTTTACATGGCTGATGAATACATACATTCCATTAATATTCCTGTTAACATGAAACCGTGCATACCCGTGAGAAATTAAGTAATATCTTGGAGTTAACTAAAAAGTCTACATTACTGACAAAACCATTAATTGAAGCTTAAAAATAAAATGGACTGAAAAATGCTCTTGGCCCTGTCTACACACATACAGATATTTTTGAAAAATTTTATTTTCTTCTATGTTTTGACCTCTCGTCCACACAAACAGAGTTTTGGGAGATATTTTTTAAAACATGAAGGTCATGTGGCCAGAATTTTAAAATAGCCAATGCAGTAAGAATCTTGATTCATATTTGATCAGCGCTGCCTAGTTTGACAGTTTGACTGCAGTTCATGAGAAGTGACTGACATGATTGACAGCTGTGTTAGGGATACCTTGGCTCTGATTGGTTGGTCTGATTCTGGTGAGTGCACCATGCAATAAGAGGGGAAGAGGGATATGATTGTATTTCCACAAACCATCTGTCCAATGTACTTCTTTCAGAACATATTGACAGATTTGGCAATTATGACCTAACGTTTTCATAAAAGTTTCCAACTGTAGCTTTAATCTGCCTTTTTTTTTTTTTTTTGCTTTATCGGTTAACTGCTTTGTCAAGTTGTCAGAGCCCTGGTGTGATCGCTTTATATTTTATGTGCTGTCTGACCAACAGTTCGAAACGCAAACTGTTATGTCAGATATAATTAATCGCGAAAAAGCAGAAAACAAAATATAGTTATGCCACATTCTGGTTGTGCTCTGGACACAGGAGGGTACTCACGGTCAGAATATGCAGGGTTGTTGTAAAACACACAGCCAGTGGTCCTATTGAAGCCGCACACTACCACAAAGTGACCCTGGTACTCTGGCTTCCTGCAGAAACACTTCTGGCCCACAGGCAGGAAGCAGCAGTATTTGACAGGCGAGGAGCAGAGTTCACATGTCAAGACAACAGCGTTGACCAGCACTATGGCGACATGGCCCTGCTCCAGATGGGACTGTATTTCCTGAACCGTCACTGAGCTATGAGAAGACACCCACAAATACATGTCAGAGGTTAGGTTAACTTAGTCTAAGGCAAAAGCAGGTGGTTTATCCAAGTGTGTAAGTATTAACATAAAACTCACCATTTCTTCACCATCACACCTTTGCTCTCTGCTTTAAGGAAGAGCTCATTCACTCTGTCTTCTTCTGTGTCAAAATGCTTCTTATAGAAGGACTGCAAACCACATCAAAAGACAACAAATACACTATCACACTCACAGAACTTTGAAAATTCAAATCTGGTTAGGACAGCAATGGTAGCTCAGACTCAGAAAAGTACCTGATTCCTAAAGCCCTTATCAACACCCAGAGTCTGTGTGCAAAAGCAGTGTTTGATTCCTAGATGGCACATGAGGTAGGCCAGGTCTATAGTCCACACACTCTCCGTCAGCTTTAGATCCCAGCATGCTCTCTGAAACTCCTCATCACTGACTGGATGGAGATACCTGCCAAGATTGGACAGTTAGAGACAGTGAATCCCTGTGTTTTCATACCTGAACTTGAATAGCTACATTATGACAATTTACAAAGTCAGCCTACAATCACGTTCAGAACATACAGGATTTCAAGAAACTTGTTCATGCATTTATTTTCAGTAGCTTTGACTACTGTAACGTTGCCTTTATGGGTCTCCTTAACGACAAAAAAATCAATCACAGAGCTGCAGCTGATTCAGAATGCTGCTGCTCGAGTCCTCACCAGAACCAAGAAAGTGGATCACATCACTTCAGTTTTTAGGTCTTTACACTGGCTACTGTACTCTCAGAGAGTAGATTTCAAAATATGACTGTTAAAAAGCAATACATAGTTTAGGGCGAGAATATATTTCTGACCTTCTGCTACACTAAATATGAACCATCCAGACCTCTCAGGTCAACTGGAAGACTTAACAGGAGAAGCTGCGTTTAGTTTTGATGCATCACAATCTAAGCAGAGCTCGGTTCTTTTAAATTAAGGCTACAGACTTTTGTGGTTGCTGCTGTAGCTTTTATTCATGTATTTTATACCTGTCTTAGTTTATTTTAGCTTGTCTTCACTTTCTATTCTCTAGCTCTATAATGGCGTTTTAATTGTATTCAATTAATGTATGCATGTCCATTTATAAGGGTTTCTTTTGCACTTTGTCTCGATGCTTTGGATGTTTTAAGTACAGCGCGCTGAATTGCCTTGTTGCCAGAAAAGAACTGTATAAATAAACTTGCCTTTTAACTGTTGTGCTCCCGTGTTACACTACCCATGTAGAACAATGTATTATCGTTATTATATATCACTTGCATGGTGATAACGAAGACTGTGGTTATTCAGGACACCTCTGACAGAGTAAATAATGCAAACTGATTAATACTTATGATTCAAGATGTTAGCAAGTTTTCTGTGCACTTACTTCAGGACCATCCTGGAGCAGGCTAACCCACAGTCCCAGTGGTACAGCTGCCGAATGACAGGAACATTCAGCAAGACGGCATCCTCTGAGAAAACCCATGGTGTTATTATTAGTATCTCTTTGAAGATGTAAAGTAACGCTGCTATAAAAAAAACAGTGTTAGCTCCTTGACATCAGGTCGTGTCACTCACCTGTCATTCTGTTGTATTCTTCCTTAGACAAGCGGCCAACTAGCTAACTTAAGACAAGCTAGTCGGTCTTGTTTACAGCATTTTAGCAGGAGTTGGGTTTCCTCATGGATGCTAACCTAAAGACACCAGCTGCCCAAATGTAACTTTAGCTGCCAGGCTAACAGTGTTAACTAGTCTGTTGGCTGCTTCGCTGGTTAAACAGCGAGGTGAACTCATCGACGCACACCACCGCCACTCATACAGTTATTAGTTAACTAAGCAAATAATGGATTAAAAATAAACTATATTTAGTTTCAGTTTTTTTGTGGTGACGAGGGCTCTGACTGAAGGGCTTTGCTTCACTCCTCTGTTGTTTGCTAGCATACTGAGAGGCTTCTAGTGTTTGGTTGTGTTGTCACTTAAAGTAATGCTGCCCCCGTGCGGTGTGGAGGACTCATCTCCTCAAAGGGGACCCATTTTCAAAACGCATACATGTTATTCCTATGGTCTAAGACAGTCTAAAATATTAATAAACATGGACAACTGTCTTCCAAATCCAAAAACTTAATGACAATTAAGTTAAGTTAATGACACTGAGAGCAGCCAGGGGAATGTGCTGAGTTTTTTCTGTCTCAGAACTGAGAACACTACAACATCATAAAGCTAATTTGGATATAAAAAAAAAAGACAACAAATATTCTGTGGGTCCACAAAATCAGGCTCCCATTCAATGTCTATTGCAGTAGCTCAGTCCATAGGGACTTGGGTTGGGAACTGGAGAGTTGCCTGTTCGAGTCCCTGTCCGGATCAAAATATGGAGCGTGGACTGGTGGCTGGAGAGGTACCAGTTCACCTCCTGGGCACTGCCAAGGTGCCCTTGAGCAAGAACCCCCCAATCGCACGGGGCGCCTCACCAAGGGCAGCCCCCTCCCTCTGACATCTCTCCACTTTGTGCATGTATAGGTCCTGTTTGTGCATGTGTGTGTCTTTTGGACCTGTGTGTAATTGACAAGCAAGAGTGAAAAACATTAAATTTCCCCTCAGGGGAATTAATAAAGTAAATAAACTTAAACTTAAACTTAACTTAAACTTGATGACATTATAAGTGTGAGACTTCTCTAATTTCTGGCTTCAAAGGAGAATTTCATAAATATTGCTTAACTTATATTGCTTAAGCTTTTCCAGACCATGGAAATAACACGTGGGAATACTTAATTTAGGTGGTGTTACCCTTTGGAAAATATGACTGAGACGAGAGGGTAATTTCATAACATTTTTTAATACTACTTCGTTAACATTTACACATGCAACCAATTTTATTGAAGAAATCAAGTGGTGTTGAAAATTAATGCAGGTTCAGATCCCTCTGCCGAAAAAAAAGTTCCCATGTTGATGTGTCCATGCTACTGGGTTCCATAGCTGGTGCCCAATGACACCTGTATTATAAAAATAGAGAGAAACAGATTAAATCTTAAATCATGATTGACCCCCAAAAATAAGCATTTTATTTTAATGATAATCAGGGTGAAGTCGGGTTAATATGGGACATCAGACATAATGGGACAAATAGGGTGTGACATCTTGGGCTCTTTAAATGTTTGCAGCCTGTCATTAAACATGTTATTGCATCGTTTATGTCACTGGTCCCTGAACTTGCAAGGTAAACCATGTGGCATGTTGATTTTCTCCTCTTGGTAATAGGAGTGTTGCAGCTGAAACAATAGGGTAGAACAAGGAAAATGGTTGTAGGATGGTTTTAAAAGCAGTTTGAATCACAATCAAAGTATTTTCACAACACTTTTCTTTATTGGAAAGGCTTTTGATTGAATCCAGAACTAGCCGTCATTGTTACACACACAGATGTGTCCAATATAGACGATATGGCACCAAGGAAATCGGCAGCAAAAAAATGAGGGAAGCAAAAAAACTGGACAATCTCTTTTAATGAATAGATAGGTCACATAAATGATTTATTAAATTATAATTGAACACATAAATTAATTAACTTTTTAAAAGGCAAATGAACACGACTGTCCCATTTTACCTGAATATGTCATTGGAGTGAGGTAGAGGTTCTTGGTATGTTTGAAGGTCTAAAGTTTCTAGAGTATTTTACTTCGCAACGTGTTTTTTGCATAGAAATATAACAGAGATACATAATAAGTTTTAAAAGTAACACTTGAGATAATCTTAAGAATTTTAGGTGGTTTTCTTGTGTCCAACATTACCAGACTTCACCCTACTGTAAGCAGTGGGGAATGTAAAATGTGAAACTAAAAGGATCAGTCACTTACTGATTCAGTCTCAGCGTCCTCATTCAGATATGTGGATTTTTGTTTGCTGTAAAGATCTCGTTTACTCATGCATGTCAACATAAACCAGTCAGAAACCACTGGAACCTGTGGAGAAAAAAAAACACTCAAATTCTGTCTTGTTATCGAAAAAGGCATTTATTTTAATCATATAACAAGTGCAGGACTGAACATGTCTTCTTACCAAACTGAGGAAGGATAATGCTGCACCCAAGTTCACTATAGTTGGTACAATTCCAAATTTTCCTGCCTGCAAGATAAGAGAGCCCCCCAGGTATTGTCAGAGCAAAGAGAACACACACATTTATGTGATGAAGTCATGGAAATTTAGAGATTTATTTGGCCTCACAGTTCCAAATACAATGACGTCAAATCGGATCCCGTATGCTTTGATTAAGTCTCTAGTTTCCTCTCCATCTTGGGTCTTGTAGTATTTTGCAAACCTAAAAGCAGTGCTTGTTAAATTTATTTCCCATCTAAATCCATTTATCAGTAAGTGTTTGTTAAAAATGCTCTCACCTGAAGTTGTATCCAGGAGCCACATTGTTGACAGGATGTTTGCTGTCCAGCCTGCGGAAGCTGTACTTGGGGTAACATTTCCCTGCCCACCAGTCAAGGTCACAGCTCCAGTCAATAATAATACCGAGGATACCGCCCTTTATGAACATAAAATAAAACTCATTCATTATCCAACTGTGTACACGTTTACTCAAATATGACAGTTAAATCACTTTTAAAAGACCTTACAAGAGATAAGGAAGTGTAGAGGGGTAACTTATACAGCAATGAAAATTATGAAACGTGGTTGTCATATTTAAAGGGATAGCTCCAATCTTTTGAAATGGGTTTGTATGAGGTACTTATCCATAGTCAGTGTATTAGATACAGCTGCTTCCCCACTGCTATGGGCTGTCTGATGGAAAGGTAGAATGGTGAACATACGGTCAATAAAGTGTACACTTAAACTCTTGTAGACTTTTTTGTGTGGGTCCTTGTTTAGGTGGCTAAAATATGTTGCCCCCGTGTACTGACCGGCAATTACAGTTGGTAATACACTACCTATGAATTAATACTCCATACAACTTCACTTCAAAAAATCCGAACTATCCCCGTAATTCTGGGCGTACCTTCAGAGCCATGTCCTGAAATTCCTCCCCGGCTTCTGAAACAATGTGTTTAAGGCGGAATATGGGACAGTAAGGGTCTGTTGTAGGATTGAATTCACACCTCTTCAGGTACGAGGAGTTAATCTGTGACAGTATGTTTCTTCTGGGGAAGGAAGGAAGTCAAACATTTGATATAATAGCACACAATAAAACAGTACGTTTGCATTAACTGCACTGATAAGAGCCTTTCTTTTACATTCACAAACTCTGACCTGTGAAAGTTGAACTTTGGGTACGTTATGCTGTTTTTGATCAACACAGTGAAGTTCTCTGCTGCAGCCAGCAGTGCATGTCTGTGGGAAACAACAGGTCAAGCCATCTCTACATCATACTATAGTTACTTAAATATTATAACATTGGATATATTCTTACTCAGGCAGCTTAGTGTCTATTTCAAGGGGGCACCATGAGAGCACTTCACAGGTCCGGGCAGTTGTGGAGTAGTTCTCACACAGCCCTGTCTGTATGCCTGAGTGGAAGATTAATGTCAATGGGTGTTTTCTGTGTGGTATCACATCTCTTACAGCAGGTGAATTAACACATATTGATCTGATGCCACAAGGTGAGGAAGGCCTACCATTGCCTCGAGGATTACTGTGTCCTTCAATACAGTCACAGTCGTCTACGCAATCAGCTGATAGGTTTGGAAGCTGGAGGAGAAATCACCAGTGTTATTCTATCAGTTGTTATGACCCTGCCTGTATAAGTCTACATCAGAACGCGTCTTTAGTAAAGTTACTGGCCTGAGCAGGTTGGTGTTTTGTAAGCTGAACAGTTACGGTGAATCTAAATAATGTGTAGAGCCCCCATCTTAGTCCTGACCTTAACTTTTATGACTTTACCATAAGACTCCATCATTAATGCTTAGTTACCAAAGCCATCAGGCAAAGTGAATTTATCAATCCATCCGATATTTGTTGAGAAATTTCAGTCTGGACCATAGTGGAGGACAGACAGATATTGCCATCTCTACAGCTATGTCACTAGCATGGCTAGTCAAATATTTGCTGGTTCCAGCTTTATAAAAGTGGATTAGGTTACATCATTTAATTAAGGTATGTTTGGGTTTTCTATTATCTATCTATCGGAACTTGTGACATTTTTTGAATAAGCTTCTGACAATTTATGCTTGATTATCATTTAGTTTGTTGGGACAGTAACTGACAGCTTAATAATAAAATATGATCATTAGTTGCAACCCTACACTCTTATGCAGGGTTGCAACAGCATGAGCAACTATATTGTCGCAGAGTAGCCATTAAAGTGTTACTCAAGCACTCATTGAAGTAGTTACATCATCAAGGACTTGTGTGTGTCTGTTATTTGCTACAGAGCACCCTTTGTATTTGGTCATGAAAAATATCTATGCTTATGATCAGAGTCTGAGCCCCATTTTTACATCACATTTCGTTGTAGCATAGTGTCAGCTAACTTAGCTATTTAATATAGGACCACATTGGGAACCACACCCAGCAGCCTTGTGCTTCACAAGGCTTCTAAAATGGCTGGGGCTGATTTGGTCCAGCATAACTCACAACAATCATGATTCACAATCATGTTTTTAAGGAGTGAAGATTTGGTGACATCACTACTGTTTTTTTAGTATCTTAATGATGCAGTAGGGATGGGAACTGAAATTCGGTTAAAAATTACAACCAAATGCGAAATGCCAAATACCAGGTACTCCTAACAAAAAACATAACAAAATTAAATAAAATTTAAAAAAAAGCAGATTATGTGGTATTGTATGACATGAAATGATGGCAGAGATTATCAACTGTTGAAGAACACAAGTAAAATGAATCAATTAAGGGGATTCAAGAGACATCTACACTTAAAAAAAAGAATTTGAAACATGGGTAAACATTTGAACGTTTGAGGGTGAGGATCTTTAAAACCCATAATTTTTACAATTCTTGGAGAACTCTCTCTTTAAAAAGGGTTCTTTGGGATGAAAGGGGTTGTTAATGAAACGCTTAATTTACAGAGAACTCTTGAAGAACCCTTTCCTCAGAACCATAGCCCTGTAGGAAGATCCCTTTTGGAACCCTTACTTCCCTTAAGAGTATAAAAGATACACTACAAAATAGCCTAAACTCTAATGAAATGTTGTAAATCAACACAAAATGCTTACCTGAAAATAGTTTGAGCAGCAGTAACATATCACTGACTCACCTCAGGACAACGTGACTGAGTTTGACGGGGGGTGACAACCATATTGGTTAAAACAAAGAATGAATTACCGCCCTGTAAGACAGAGGAGAAATGTCAGGAGGCTGTCTCACTCACAGTCACAGCAGAACAAACTGTGTCGATCAGTTAACTGCCATGTCATAAACCACGGATGACAAGTTAAAATGGAGAGGGGTGATAAAGTTTGTGTGTGTGTGTGTGTGTGTGTGTGTGTTTGTATGGTTAAATACCTGAGATGGGATAACATAATCAGCCACGTCCCAAAATCGGGGCTCCATGTCAGATGTGTTGGTGAAGGCAAAACCTTTCACTTTGGTGGTGACGCTGCTGATTACAGAGTCTGTGTCTTGGTAGGCCTTCTGCACCACACACACATACCTGCAGGTTTTAAGTTGCATCACACTTGAACAATGCAATCGAAACATAACACATCTCTAGGCTCATTACAACAGTACTTTATGACTACTTTAGCTTTAAATCAACATTCAACCAAATCCCAACCCAGTACAGTGGTAACACTATCTTCCCCCCATCATCATTTGTTACTTACCCCACCACATACAGCACCACCAGAAGCTGGGTGAACCTGAAGACACATCCTACCCCAAAGTTCGGAATAACCAGTGTTTTTGGTGTTTCATAATCAAATGTGTAGTGCAGACAGCTGTTGCAGCAGCCTGAAGTCCTGCTCATCGCTGCACCACTCACCAGTGATGGAGGATGCAATAACGATGAGTGGACATAGCTGCCATTATTCAAATCATTGTATTCAAATCATCTTGGCCTTCGTATGTTTTACATGTAGTGGACATAATTATACAACCCCCATATAGTATAGGCTTGACAATAGCACTTTCTAAACTTTGTACATATTCTGGCTGTACTAAAAGAGCCAGAGATGAGTCCGTGCAAAAATAAAATTGCAGCTGGTCAGTGTCATAATCACATGCTGAAAGGAGAGGGTGAATTTTATATCTACTTTTGGTCCTTGCAGCACTGTTTAAATGATCCACAGAACCTAAAACACATACACTGGGTATAATAAAATAGGCAGAGTGGAATTGGCAAGGACATTATCACTTCAACAAAAATTATTTGTAAATACTCCCAATAGTAGTCCTTGTCCTTTCACCAGTGTTTCATAGCTACATTTTGTATATCTGAAAGTTGTCACTGGTATTTTTTGTGTAACAGACCAAGAGAAAAAGTGTAAGAATACATACTGTAGTAACAAATTTAAGGACTTAGTCTGACTGCAGTACCATACTACTGTATGTATTAGTATTTGAATACTTTCGTTGTTGTATCATGAGGACATGCATGAGATTTATAATACTTACATTACATACCAGGATGTGAACAGTGGTGTGGCGGTATTTGATGAGGTGGGTAAACTACAAGGTAGAAGGGTAGGTCACCAAGAAGAAAGTGGGTATGATCTTCTATACATGTATGGATTATTGGATGGGCCTACTGGGCACCGGCTCAGGGGTCCAAAGTGTATGGCCAGAGAAATATGGTGGACATACCCCATATATCTGCGCATACCCTCCACTACATCACTGGATGCAAACATGCCACACTACCCTCACCACAGATTGTTGAAACCTTACATTGCAATCTACGTTCTTACAATCTATAGTTAACGAATGCATACATAACACTTTCTACAGCGTATGTCAGCGATACTCAACTTGCTTTGCTAAGGGGCCATTTTTGCAAAATGACTGGAGGCCAGAGGTCATTTAATTAACAAACATTAATGATATTTATCAGTATATAATAAATGAATTACCTGTTATCAGCCTTTCAACATTTGCTGCCCTCACTCATCTTTGACAAGAGGCAAATCCAGGTGAAGAAACCATAAGCAGTTCAGGTGTACGAAGGGGTATTTCTAGGATTTGAGGACATTCAGGGCTTAGCCTGGACCTCTGTTGGTGGGTCCAGCGTACCACCCCAGGCACTTTTTTATTGTTTGTTTTTGATAAACAAGCTTGATTTTTGGCGCTTTTTATAAACTGCGGGACCTTATTTACATTCAAAGTCCATTGTGATGCATTGTGGATTAGAAAATTGTCTTTGGGCCACCCAGCACCCTTTTGTGGGCAAGATTTGGCCCAAGTGCAGTAAGTTGAGTGTTGCTGGTGTATGTGATGCTCTGTTCATCTTTAGTATTCAACACAGCACTGCATGTGTAGATATGAGTACAATCCTGTCCTTAGCAAATGCAGTCATAGAAGCCTCTGTTGTGTATAACCAGTTCTTCAGTAGACACCATGTGATATGGAAATTCATGTCTCCAAAGTTGTGACAACAGGTGGTGAGAAGAGGAGGAGATGTTGACACAGTGAACCAGTTATTACAGGCACTGATGCCAGGTTGGTGTTGGCTCAGATGGTGCTACCGTTCCTGTGCTCAACATAATGTGACACATGCAATTTAATCATTTCATTTTGTGAAAGGTGCAAGACAGGAGGGTGAAACTGCCGCTTTGACTTGCAAAATGTGCACTGCTGTGTACTCTTTAGTGATCCTGTCAAACACAAAGTAACTTCGTTAAAACTCACCACACATTTGCATGCTACTTCAGATACTCACACTGCAAACTGATTAAACAGCTTGTAAAACAGAGCCTGCACACTGAGGAGGGCTTTAGTTGAAACCTTTGAGCTTGTAATTCTTGAAAAGGAATATCAACATCACTAAATGAGAAAGACAACTATGTCAGAAAAATAACACTTGGAACTAATACTGATTAAGAGTCAGTTTTTAATTTCATAACACACATTGACTTCTATGAACACAGGACAGATACAATGTCACTTTGGTCTGATAGTACGTCAGATATAAAGTCTGTATAAAAGAACCATTTCAGTTCACACAGACACTTTGGCATCCCATTTGTTACTGGCATAGCTTGCCTTCAATAAAATATTTTTTCTTACCCAACCTCTTTCAAGTTTCTTTTTAGTTATGAAGTCCATGTTGTCATATCCACACAGGAAAGAAAGGCTACAGTAGACTGTATACACAATATACATATGGATATTTTTCATCTGCAATTTTTTTTAAAAAAAATTGAATAACACAGATACAAAGACATGTCAATTCATCAATAAAACTAAGGAAGTACAGTCAATATGTTTTTCGTTTCAGTGCTGAAGTTTCAAGTATGATATGAAGGCATCTACAAAGTACTGTAGACAAAAAAAATAAAAACAGTCCACATTAATGAAGCTACAGTGAAATGTAGACCAGGGAATCTTCTCTTATATTAAGTCTTCTAGTTAAACCCTTCAGGAAGAGGCTGACACATATGGAAACCAGCCATTATGTTCATTCATCTGTCCATTTTTGATAATGCAACTGTTGGCTCCTCCAAGGAATCACTCGCTCCAGCTTTGTATAATCCGTGTCAGTGTCTTCAACAGCTAAAAGCGACTAAAAAAGGTCCACAGATTTCATATCAAAGTCAAGCCCTCCCTCATGCAGGTTGCGTTCATTTGCGTTGTCAAAGCTGTTCTTCCCATGGATCTGTTTGAGGTGCTTACGGAGAACTGGCTTGTGAGCAAAAACCATGTCACAGTAGTTGCAGCGGTGTGGCTTGTCCCCGCTGTGCAGGTTTAGGTGATCCAGCAAAGAACACTTTTGGGTAAAGGTCTTACCACAGATTTTACACTGAAAGGGCTTGATGCCGGCGTGGACACGCATGTGTCGGTGCAGGTTGCCCTTCTGTGTGAAGGTCTTGCCACACAGCAGGCACATAAACAGCTTGTGCATCTTGAGGTGGTTGGCGTAGTTCTCCAGCTGGCGGAAGACCCGGGCACACTTGGGGCACTGGTGGTACCACTGGAGAGGTTTGTCGTAGTTCCTCTGGTGCACGTTGTGTTTCTCTGCAGGAGGGGACTGAGGAGGGGGGCTGAGCGGGTATCCGGCCACACCAGGTGGAACCGCCATCTCACTGCCACGACTGTCCACAGTGGAGTTGATGAGGGAGTGCTGGGGCTCAGGAGAGTGGAGGGCAGCAGGTGGGCTGGTGGGGAAGTGACCAGTGATGGAGTTTTCTGCTATGTCAGACACAGACTCAACTTTTACTATAGTGATGTCACTTTCCACCATACCCTGCTTTGGACGTCTGCTTAAGATCTGGAGAGGGGACATAGGCTGTATGATCACATCATCGTCGTCGTCATCATCATCATCATCACCATCGTCACCACTGTTGCCGTCTCCAACTTGCCCCACCTCCTCCTCTTCCTCCTCCTCCTGATGAACAGTCCGAACCTGAGAGCGCTCTTGCTCTCTCTGGGCCTGGGAGGACAAACCGTCTTCCTTCTTCTCTCTCCTCATACCCACATCCACTTCCAGCTGCCTTGCAGACTGAGGTTTGATGAACTTATTGAGAGCCTGAGTGCACTGCTCCACAATGTGGCCCATTTGGAGGAAGCTGGCCACAGTCAGGTAATGCACCAACTCCAGCTCAGGAAACTCCAGCTGACCTGTGTAGCAGGACAGCAGCAGCTGCCGGCCCACCTCCGCCTCCTGGATCATGGAGATCTGGACCTCCCTGGAGTCCTGCTGAAGGATGAACTGGTCCCTCAAGAATGAGGAGCCAGCAGCAAACACTACCTTGTGACCGGGGACCTCCAGCTGATTGATGCGCACGGTGACATCACAGAAACGTCTCTGGTGTCGCAAGAGGTTCATCTTTTGTAACATGGAGTCCCCAAATGTGGCGAAGCGGAACTGCAGAATCACCTGGTTCTGGGCCATAATGAACCGAGGGACAGCAGCAGCAACAGTAGTAGTAGCAGTGCACCTGTTAAGCACAAATACAGAGACTGTCTCATCTCTCCAGCAAAATCCCACTCTATACTTTGTGTGAATTTGATATTTTGTGTTTTACTGTTGTGCTTAATATGGCAGGCAGTCTTATAATACACATTCAAGAGGTTTTGCCTAAGAATACACAACTGTAATCTCTCCTTACATTAAACTCTGCATCGTATTGTACTTCAAGAGGGACACAGCCCATATTTCAATATAAGATAGAGAGCTAATTGATTTAACTAACACCACCTGCGTCAATCACACTCACCACCATATCATCATAACCACCATCATGCTAGGCGCGTGCCTCGCTAATGGGTAGGGTGACAGTGATCACCAGACTCGGTTCAGAAACCTGCCAATTTAAAACTAGCAAACGTGTCCGTCTCATAAACTACCAACTAATTGTGTTTAAACTATTTTCAGAAGCACTGACCACTCTTCGGCTCGGTGTTCATTCACTCTCACAAATTATAACAACAAATATTTATTGTATTACAGTGTATTACTGTAAGCTAACAGGTCACTGGTTTACCTATTGGTAACATTAGCGAAGTGCTTGAGCCAAAAAAGATGAAATATTGTTGATAAATGCTTACAGCTAAAAGCCGAATAATGTTAAATGGTAAAATATGTTAAGCTCTTCATGTTTCACTGCTGCTAAGGTTTGCCGATAGACAAGACATCAATGTAAAGCTGTCTAACCCTGGCTCCTGGTTTACGCTGTCCGAGTAGACTGGACCTAACGTTATGGCCGCACCGATGTTAGCTTAGCACCGTCGGTACAGTAAAGTTTAACTATTGGCTTTCTGTCGAGGGGACATAAGTAGCCTATTAGAGCAAGACAAAAAGTAATTTTGTACAGTGACTCTCTGTGCCTAACGCTAGCTTTAACTGTAAACAATCAATCACAAATCGCCTCCATATTTGCCTTTGGCCTACTCATCCACTCTTTAGCTGCCATCTCAGGCTGTATGATAACATCCAACACTGCAGCTAACTAACTAGCTTTATTACTATGTTTTAACTGCGGCTGACAGTAATATAAGTTGTGTACCTGTTAACCTTTTGTAAACAAACCCGCTAGAGATGGGTTGTCATCAGTAGGACACTGGTACTGTCTGTGTCTGGGGATATCAAGGAGCTGCTCCGGATGCAAATCCCATTTAAAGGCCCAGTACCACACATGTGGGATCAGCTTTCATCTGTGCCTCTCATCCTCTCTCTTCACATACTTTATAGATTAAAACAAGCCGAAATTACTGTTATTACCGAAACGAAAAACAAACAAACAAAAAATAATCATTTATCTGTGTCTTTTTAATTACATTATTCTCAAGTATCTAGTATGTTATTTTCCAGTATCCCTCTAATGATCCCTAAAGGCATCCTAAAACAGACACCCTCTGCGGTGAGATTCCCCCAGAAGGAATTTTTTAGGAATTTAACAGCTTAACTGACTGTTTTAAAGCATTTTGAAAAAAAAGAGAAGAAAACAATAATAATAATTTCTAAAGAAAAGAAATAATGCGTATACCAGGGGTTCTCAAAGTTTTGATGACTGAATGTCATTTTAGGTTTTAGGGGAGCCAACACATAATAAAGGGCCACTTTGACTATGACTTTTTGACTGAATTTTTGGACAATGTTATGACATACTAACACTTCAACAATAAACAAAAAAAAACAGCCTACATAACACTCATGTTACACCTACTTTTCCACTTTTTGGGCATGAAATAAAGAGACAGAACAGTATTTGACATTAATTGTAGGTAATGTACTGTGGCTGTGCTGTGTTAAGTAGAGCACATGGTGAGTGTGAGTTTGGTAATTTTTTAACCTGTAGGTTTTTTCACATCCAATAATTATTTAAGCGCTCATGAAGTGAAAAAAAAAGTTTATTATAATTATTTACAAAATGTACAAAACAAAATGTACAGAAAGGAAGTCAAAACTGTCATTTAAGTTGTCACACTGACAAATAAAATGACAACATCAGCACTAGGAGCGTCTTATCCTCTTGAAAATCCTGAAAAATAGACAGAGGGACACCAGGTCGTTAAAGTCTAACTACAAGTCCTGTGTTTTACCTGAACTTGTGCAAACATCTACGTTACAGTCATTCATAATGAAATACAACAGGCCACTTTCACTATAAACTGAATTTCTGTGTTTTGTGACCGAAAAACAAAACAAAAATGTATATTTAATTTGCAGGCTGTGATTACATTACCTTAAAATTATGTTACAAATTAATGGTTCAATAATATCAAAAGTGAATTATTGATCATGCATGTACTTCATCTTTGAAAATTCCAGAAACGCTAGAATGACTTTTGCTTGTAAACATTTGATTTAATTCAGGTACAGACAGGTCATTGTTGTACAAATATTAAAAAAATCTTCCTCACCAGGAGAAACTGTATCCACCAGAAATGACCAAGACAACCAGTCCTATTAATGCAACAGCAGACAGAGATGAAACCCTCAGAACATATGATGTACCTGGAACAAAGAAATGCAGTGTGTTAGTAACTGGCAATTAGCGCTTTCTAAATCTGATTGTTTTTGCATTTTTAATACTCAGTTGCTTTCTGGTGAAACTTTAGAATATTGTAACAAGGTAAAATGTCATCTCCCAAAATAAATCTAAATCCAAAAATCATAACTTTAAAATGACACTAGCGTCTGGGTATTTTGGCCAGTGAATTACCTCTTACTTTAGCCCACAGGACACAAGAACTTTTTAAAGCCTAGGAGAGAAAACATTCAGATAATTTAACAAGTAAACTGCAAAGTCGGGTGCAGTTTAATTTATTTTATTGTACAGTAGTCGCACCCACCGATTTCCACTGACTGACAACTCGTAAGATGATATAATAGTTCCTGCCATTCTCCAGTGGTGCATTAAAGAAGCCTCCATAGTAAAGTCCATCCCCCACAGTAAAGTTCATCTCTGACCTGACATGTCTCAAATCAATCTGAGCAGTGATATACTTGGTTGTGGACTCTACTTCACTTGAGGGTTCTGAACTTGCAGAGGAGGAACAGTCAAATACCAGAATCCCCTCTACAGGAAGCACAAACACCTGGTACAAACTGCAAAATGAAGAACAAAAACAATCACGTATTTTGAAGGTGCCACATTTTAATTTGAATAGCCTATTTAAAGGATATATTCATTTGGGATAAACATTTGGGTAAACAGTTTTTGTAAATGTTTTCTTTTTTTAATACACCATGATCTCATTTAGTAATTAAATCAGTATATCACAATTGATTTTAAAATAAATAATAGGTTATTATCTATATGGCAATAAATATGATGATTCAGTGCAAATTATAGCTTGACGGATACTGGATTTTTGTGGCTAAAATTTGGGAGAAAGAAAGAACAAAGTGTTTCACTTATTATTTATTTTATTTTTGTTTATATAGGAAAATAATTAAAGTAACATTGGGTGTGTTACAGTTAAAACTGTGAGCAAGATGGCATATACAGTAAGACTCAGAGGCTGCAGGTCTGTCCTTCTATCAAATAGTGTTTATATGCATGTTTGACATGTGCAGTAGAAGTTATTGCTCCAATGTATAATGGGATCTTGTTCTAAATTTAAGTGTGGGCCTTAGTGTGAAAAAATATCTGACCATAATGGTTTTTGTAAGGTGGTACAGGAATGAGTGCATGTGAAATTGATCTAGTGATTTCTTCTTGTGTTGTGTGTTGGAAGTAGAGCAGTAATTGTAGGGTTGGAGTTGTTTTAGATCTGAAAGTAAAATCTAAAGGCAAGGTTATTTGTGCAGTGCAGTGGTGAGTCCAAGAGGGAAGGTTTCCATGGATCATGTAAGCCCTGTTGTATAGTCTTGCTATTGATTCAGTGGTTTCCTTTGTGGTGACGGACCAAATTGGGTGACAGTAGGATATTGTTGAGAGAATATTTGCATGTAAATATGTGTCCAAAACAGTTGGGGTGAGATATGGTCTGATCTTGTTATAGACATACAATTTCTGATTGAGCTTATTTGTTAGGTTCTGAATGTGGTGTCAATAAGTAAGATGTAAGTCAAGAAATACAAGAAGATATTTGTAGGTTTCTGTGACGGTTAGTGTTTGATTTGCAAAATGAATAGGGCCAGATATGAATATAGGTTTCTTAGGGGAATGGAAATACATAAATTCTGTTTTCTTGACATTGATAGATTTGTAGGTTTCTGTGACGGTTAGTGTTTGATTTGCAAAATGAATAGGGCCAGATATGAATATAGGTTTCTTAGGGGAATGGAAATACATAAATTCTGTTTTCTTGACATTGATAGTTAGATGATTATGTAGTTAAGATCAGAGGATAGTTTTGAGTTTAAGACATCACAGTTTGGATCAGAGATAAAAAAAATACAGTGTCATTTGTGTATAGTAGACAATTAGAACACTTGCACACATTAAAAAGGTCATTGATGTAAAGGAGAAAGAATAAAGGACCCAAAACGCAGCTTTGTGGAACTCCCTCATTACAAGTTAGAGGGGGAGTTGTTACAGGGGCATAAATATAAATCTTAATAATGATCTCTTAGATTAGAAGATACATACTAAACAGGACCTCTTACTGTGTAAGAGCAACATCACACATTAAATTTACATTGGCGAATTTTTGCTTCCCCTTCACTTTCATTCAAAGTGTCAGCTACTTATCAGCCAATATATGCACTGGTACAGATATACCTGCAATAAGCTAATATTGACGAATGTACTGACCCGGCTGATTTATTGATTCAGCTCAAGCCCTAATACCAACTTTTATGTGGTGTTTACACTGCCTGTTCAAGGTGGGAATTTCATGCTGTTAAGCTGCCTGACTGTGCTTTATTAAAGGTACAATCGCAGAACTGGGGGGGACAGAGTTGTCTCTAACTTTTAAGCCGGCAGCAGAGGTAGTAACAGCGCTAAAACAACATCTGTGTAAAAATGGACAGCAGGCAGGATGTGACCATGGATGGCATATGTGTAATGTTTTAATGACGTGTTATGTGTGTGATCTAAAGCCAAGAGATTTAAAAAACAACTGTGAGCAGTTAGCAGCTAACTCAGAGAGTAAGAGCAGCAGCTGAAAATGCTGCAAACTGGAAAAACAATGAGGTCTGGGAGATCCTTAATCTCCACACAAATGCTGAGATCAGCTGCCATATAACAGAGATTGAGTTCAGCCTTGAAAACTGAATGGGAAAAATTTCATATCCTGCCTGTTGAATGTAGCTGTTTATGTTAAGGGTTTTGTCCAGAATGTACAAATGAGTTATGAACTTCCTTTTATTATATTGTTTCATTAAAAAAATAAAATAAAATTGTGATTTGTTTTTAAGTAACTGCACAGCAAAGTCTATGCATTCATGGGCCAATCTGAGTCAAGTATTTATCAAAGCTGCAATGATTAGACTGACTAGTAAAGATTCAGCCAACATGATAAATTGGGGACTTTAGTAGGTCATTTGAAGCATGAAGGTGTATGACTGTCTATATTATCTGACAGGGTTTTAATTTCCCCCGTAACCTATAGAAGAACAGAAGAGCTGATCACATATCCAGGTTGTTACCTTATTGGGTCCAGTGTACTGGGTGATCTGCGTAGCCTCAAAGTTGGTACAGGAGTCTCAAATTCTCTATAGTAGACAACCGGTGCTGGAGGCACTGTCAAATGTTATTATGCTCAATATAAAGAAGAATGCATCACATAAAATACAACTGTATCAGTCCTAAATGTTTTCAGAAAGCTGATATCTCAGGGCTTCATTTTGATGCAGGAAAACATTTTGTCAAAGTAGAGTAAATATAAGAGTTAAAAGGATACCTGGTAAACTGGTGTTCATGGTGGTAGTGGCTGTGAATCTGGCAGACACTGCAGTGATGAAGATGCTGTAGTTTGTGACTGGAAGCAGGTTAAGACAGAGTTCCAGCTGATCAGCCTTAGAGCTCAGAAACTGCTTCCTGTCATCATAAAAAGACCTCTGATAGTCTCTGGATCCTATGTATGTCACCTGGAATGGTTACATTGAATGTGGAGTCAGTCAGGGTCACAAAATACTCCACAGATAGGGGTAGAAAAAAAACAGTATGGAGTCATCCATAGACAAATTCACATATAACCAGACAATAAGGTTAAGAAATTATCGAATGCACCTATAGTATCCTATGCTGGAAACCAAGTACGTACAAATAATGGTAAGATAAAGATTAGATAAATAGCAACTGCAGTGAAAGAAGTCTGATGAAATATCCCATTACCTTGTATTGTTCTGTATCCTCCTCATACTTCTCTGCCCTCCAGTGCAGACATCTTTCATTGACAACAAATAGGTGATTGATAGGTGGCTTTATTTCTGTAATAGATATGGGAATGAAAGGAGAGTGATGATACACCAAATGTGCTTACAAATATATCCACGATGCAAATCAGTGATATCACACAAGCATCATACTTATCCAGATGCGTTAATTACTTGAGGCCAAATTAACATTTCAACATACAGATCTTCCTGGTGGGGTTATGTTGACTTGTTATGTTCCTACTCACCTATGCATCTCAGTGTAGCTCTCTGCCACACTCCAGAGCTGCCACACACAGAGACATTGCTGCCTCTCCAGCTGTGATATCCATCCACACAGCGGTGGATCACAACACTCCTGTTATGCCATGCCACCTCTGATTTGGCAAGGAAGGGAACAGGGCCACATTTGGCTGGGAAAACAATAACAGTGATTTGGTTAGCTAAGTGTAGCTAACAGCCAAACATTGTTTAAAGGTACTGGATCATAAAACAAACCAAAGGCAAGAATTTGTCAAAAGATCGGCACACTGTATGAAAAGCTCCCAGCAATTTTAATTGTGCAAAGATTCAAACTGATATCTTTGTCAGGCATTGTCAAACTGTGTCGAAATGTTGCAAAATAAAAATAGCTGGGAGCTTTTAATATAGTGTGCAGATCTTTTCTCTGAATCTTGCCTTAGCTAATTGATTTCAAGCATTGTGGTGCCTTATAAGCATGATTATATACAGTATATTTCTTCTTCAGTATCTTTGCTAGGTTCCCAGTGCCCTCCACTGAAAGAGTCATCAGGTGGTAAAAGCCATTGCTGAGTGAAGGTAAATAAATCACATCCTCAGCACTGGGTTAGCAGTGGATCGACCCATGAAATAAATGTAAGCACAACTTGAGATAACGTCAATGTTTCAATACATGATTCACCTAAATTTGCTTCCAGGCCTGCAACAAGCACAGAACATAGAGCCCAAGCAGAAACATATAATGGAGCCTCCAACCACAACTTAAACAACATCGATCTGAGCAATTATCAGTTGATTACCAGATAAATAAAAGCATTAACAAAAAATATCAATAGCATGTAAAAAAAATTAAAATAAAATACAGTCCAAATATAGAGATTAGTACTGTACCTTTACACTTTACTGATACTTCACCCCACTGTCCTGATTGTAAACATGTTGAAATATTATTTCCACTCTCCTGATAAAATCCATCCATGCACTCATACACCACCATGCTTCCCGGTCTACTGGTGCCATCCCACAGGAGGTTAGTATGGGGGAGGGTTAGTGGGGGGCCACAGCTTATTTCTGCACACAGACATGATTTAGCACAGACTGTGTGCTAATAGGCATGATATATAACAACAACAACAAAAACAACAACAACAAAAACACAGATAGCACAGTCAAATCTTAGATGGCAGCTGAAGAGGAGATGCAGCATAATGAGAACAAGCACAGTATGATAATATCCATGATCTAAAGCAAGACTTTTACTTTTTGGGAAATAAACTTATTTGCCTCCTGACAGGGAATTTTAGCAACAGCATTGCCAGATGGGAAATGTTAAACTACAGTACCAGAGGCTTAAAATTGTCATATTTTGCAGAAAAGTGTTGTTGTGAGTCATTACCATGAGACCAAATAATTTCACAAAACGTATTTTTGACATATAAATCAGGCAAGCTGACGGAGCTATGATGTGTGAAACGGGGTATGAGTCCATAGGACCATCAGTCTGACACATATTGCTATAGCCCACTATGTAAAAATTTACAACACGATCCAAAGCCTTTTCATATTCTGAGCAAGTTAAATTAATAACTAGGGTAACTAGTGCATTCTTAACAACTTTAACACAGCATGCCATAGTAAGAAAGAGATTCAAACGCAGACATAGAATTCATATTTTGTTATCCTGACCATGTCGGGAAATTATTTAAATAAGACAGCACAGACTAAAACTAACTACAAATTTTAAGTGTCAGAAATTTGTAAAATTGTTGTACATTTTTTGGCTTTATTGGTTGTGCATTGTACAGAGGGCAAAATTATCATAAAAAATACAGTAATTATCTGGCAGTAACATCTGGCATCCTTGCTCAACAAAAAATGCACATTTGTGTATTTCCCAAAATGTTCAAAGCATTGCTATAAATATTTTGTGCTAATTGCTGCAAGTATTGTAAAATCTAAACAATTAATCCATATATCTGTCATCAGACATTGCACCTTCACACCATAGATCAATATCCTCCCACAGTCCATTCTCTCCACAACTTGAGTAGTTTCTCAGGCTCTTGGTGTAATATCCTTCCTCGCATTGGTAATACACCAAACTGCCAATGTGTGATGTGCCATCCCAAAGCATTTTAGCATGAGGTTTAAAAACAGGCTCTTGACAATTGATTTCTACAACAAAAAGACAGCAAGTCATTGTAGATGCTGAAATGTTTGATGATGACACTAACATTCATATTGTTTGAAAACAGTGTGCAAATCATGATGGATTGCTAACATTTGAGAGTGGCATTATTACTTTTATTGGATGCAAGTAATCCGATACTATATAATAAACTACTAATATATTAGTATAGACTGATGTCGTTATCACCTTGACAGAGCAGAGAGGCTCCATCCCATTCTCCACTGGCAATACAGACTGATACATTTCTCCCTCCAACACTGCCATATCCAGACTTACACTGATAAACAACCTGAGAGCCCACAGTGGAGATTTTATCCCACAGCATGACTGAATGAGGGATGGGTGGGGGCACACCACAGTCAACCTCTACAAGGATTGAAATAACAATATTCAATTGAGTGACAACATCTTTTATTTGAAATAGGACAACAACAATGCCAACTACAGCTTTAATAACATTTTGGAGCAAGTTGTTACCTTTGCATGAGATGTTTGGTTTTGTCCAGTAACCATTTATTGTGCACAGTGACATATTATTTCCTCTATTGTGATCAAATCCTAATTTACAATAGTAAGTCACTGTGCTTCCAGGGGTGGAGCTGCCATTCCACACTTGCCCAGTGTGAGGCAGTAGAGGAGGATCCCCACATAATATCTCTGGGACATGAAATGATGCACATAGAGGGGTTATACAGAATTAAACATCAACATTTTGAGTGCATAACATACAAGTTCTGCTCTAATCCATTCTTAGCACTTTGATAAAAGTGGTAGTTGTGATCACATGACTCACACAGGTGATCTCTCTTATGTTGATTAGCTCTTCTCAGGACTGTGTGGCCATGCGCAGACTAATTGGCAAGGACAAGTTAAAAAACACCAGGGTAGGGTGTGCAGGCTTCTATCATTTTATTAGTAAAACATGTTTGAAAAGAAAACCATTTCAGAGGTTTTAGTCATTGTTTGAATCACCTTGGCATGACAGAGTTGGGGGAGTCCACTGACCGTTTGCATTACAGATCGATACGTTATGTCCTCCTTTGTTATAAAAGCCTTTTTTACAAACATAGAGCACAGTGCTGCCAGGGGTTGGATCACTGTCCCACACCTGCTCAGTGGATTCAATTATAGGAGGACTTCCACACGAAGTCTCTACAAGGAACAACATACATATTCATGTAACATGAACAAAAATTTTAGTTTTCTCAATTCAGGAAGTTAGAAGTGCAAAAATTAAAAAAAAATAAAGTTAAACAAAAAACAATCTGAACAGTGGTTGTACCTTGACAGAGCACAGGCGGTCTCTCCCACTGTCCACCAGCATTACAGATGGATACATTGCCCTTTCCAACATTATGATATCCAGAGTTACACTGATAAAGCACCTTGGAGCCCATCCTCGTGCTCTTATTCCACAGCATATGAGAGTGAGGGAGGGTCGGGGGAGAGCCACAGTCAACCTCTGAGGGCCAAAGCAGTGACATGCTGCGTGAAACCATATTCACTGGAAAATCTCTGTTTGGCAGGTCAGGTTCATGATCCTGTGCTCAGGAAACTGGTTAAAAACTCACTGAAAAGCTGCGCTGTAATACGTGGGAGAGTCAATACATTACCATGCCCTTCAGGCTGAAAGGAGAGGTTCATGATGTTTCAAGTCTAAAACAATATTCACATGGCCATGATAGCATTTAAACAGTTCATCCTTTGCATAGTGGCTGCGAAGAGGTCCCTTCCTAATGTGATTGCGGTGGAGCACAATATTCACAGTCCTATTGTTTTATGACGGACTTTAAAATTTGTTAACCTATCCCTTAAAAACCACCCATCATGTTTGCCCTTTATTTATAGGTACTGGTAGCTGGCCCCGTAGTGGAGTGACTTGTCATAATAAAAAAGATTAAACCTAATATGTGGTTGTGTACCGAATACTGTGTGTGAGTTCTCAGTGAGGCTGTAACCAGTTGGTATTACATACTGTCTGCTGGGGCTGGATGATAAACCTAATTTTGGGAATTACAGATAGTTATTGTTAGTATTTTCAGTTTCACTTGTGCTCTTCCTACTATGACAAGTCAAAATGTCTGCTGTGAGAAAGGCCCGTTGCCCAAAAAATGTGTTGGCATTGCATCTTTCCGCAAACCACAGATAAGTTGCACTTGCAAGTTATTATGTTGCAGATACGTTACATCTTCACAATTTATCAGTGCTGTGGTTACTGTGTGCTTAACGTTAGGCAAGAACACTTGGTTATTGTTATCAAAAGATCATGTACTGACTTAAAATACCCAGTTTTGGGAGGACAGTATCAACAGCAAAAGCAGCAATGTCTCTATTAAAAAACAATTGCTTTTGGTAGCAGCTTTGCTGCTGACAGGTTGTGACAAAATACCCACATCTGGAGCACAAGGAAAAAACAGAGAGGGTGCTAAAACAGCCATGTTTGGAGCCTAAAAAGCTGCTGGGAACACTGTAATGACTCCTTTAAATACAACCAGTTTTGTTTGTTGGTGTCATACAGGGGTCTGCAGCTTAGCAGACTTCTTGCCAAGGTGACAAGCTGTCCTCCATCCCCTCTACCTCCAGATGACAAAACCAGCCTAGATGTTACATCACCTTACAAACTATGATACATATAAAGCCAGCAAATGTAAGGTATTTGTGGTTTGCAGAAACACACAAACATTCTCTTCTGGCAACTGAGCTGCAATAACAATGCTGATGGAGGCGCTAGAAGAAAAGTTAATGGATCATTAAAATTATTGTGCTTCATCCTGAGGGGAAAAATGAATGGCTGTACCAAATTTAATGGCAATCCAGATACTTCAAGGTGGATCAACCAACACACAGACAGCTAACATGGCTAAGTTATCGTTACATTTTTTTTTATTATGATGCAGTTTATCAAGTTAAATGTTACAATTTAACGATATAGATTTGAAAATATATACATAAAAAAAACCTACAGTGTGTTTCATATTTCCCTTAGAAAAACTTGATTGGCACTGTTAAGAACGACTGAAAAGCCAAACAACTATTACCAGCACCTACGAGCAGAGAAAGCAAAGCAGAGTTGCAATTTGCTGATGAATAATCCTTATAATGCTAAAAGGGAAAATAAGAGCTGTGGAGAGAGGCAGATTGTTTTTTTTTGCTTGGGTTTTGTTACCTTCACAGACCATAGTGGGTCCTCTCCACAGTCCATTAGCTCCACACACAGAGCTGTTGTCTCCACTCCTCCACACAAAGCCTTCATCACAGACAAACATGGCCACACTGTCGTATGTGGTCCCTGTGACTGACAGCAACACTGTGTCCTCCACTGAGGCTGGCTGGCCACAGTCAACCACTGAGTGGGACAAGAACATACAAAACTCAAGATTAGCTCAAGCTGTTTACACACTGACCACACAAACAGCATGGACTTCACATTCAGCAGGTACTGTCACTTTTATACCCGCCAGGACCAAACTGAGGGTACACATGGAGTACAAATACACAAAATACACAGTAGGAATGTATGATCTTCTAAAGGGTCAGTGTGCTTATCCAAATCCCATTAATGCAGTTTTACCTTTGCAGGAAGCCTTGTCTCTTTGAGGGTTGAAGGGCTCCACTCCATTGTGGACTTCATATCCCAGCTGGCAGCTGCACTCAAAACTGCCGTCAAGATTCCTGCATAGACCTCCCTCTCCACAAAGGCCTGTGATCCTGCACTCATCAACGTCTGCACAACCAATGGTAAATGAGCGTTTGACATAAAATCCATAATGTCACCCACTTTGTAAGGCTTGTTTTACAGGCAAAACAAGCTGTTGCATATACTTAATGTTGTCATCTCTCATTATTAGTGGATATATTTTAATCTCTTATGTAGTTTGATGCCTTTAAGAGCCCTGTAAAAAAAGACCCAGGCCCACCCTAAACTCACCCTGGCAGTGGGTTCCATCATTTGGGATAAAGGTGGTCATGTTGTTAGAAGGGCTGTAGCCAGCCAGGCAGGTACAGTAGTAGCTGCCATAAGTGTTATGGCAGGTGGTGTGTTGTCCACAGATCTTAGTTGCTCCTATTTGACACTCATCCTTATCTGGAAGAAAAAAAAATACACTTAAACATAGAAGAAAAGGAGTTGAAATCATTAATGTTATTAATTCCATCTGTTTTCTAGTTTGACAATTCAAAATGTCTTCTGTAAAAAAGGACTGGCATGCATTTTTTACAGACATTCATAGTCCCCAGCAGATGAATTCTACTGTCCTCTAAATTTTCATCTTGAACATGATGTTGAACTCATTTTAGTTCATAGGTCACATGCAGCCAATCTTGATGTCAAGTGGGCTGAATTAGTTTACCATTGCATAATAACCTATAAATAACAACACCCCCAAATGTTTCCCTTTCTTTTAGGGAAAATAACATTCTGAAAATGTCCATCCATTTGAAAAACAGATGAACTGAAGCTGCAAAATGTTCAGTATCTTAAAACATGATCACAGTAAGTATTAATTGATTTTCTATCACTGATTATGATTAGATATTTGCTAAACTAATGACATTCCCATCACCTCACCTGTACTTTGTATGTAGTGCTAATGAACAAATGTTAGCGTGAATAGTGAATAATGAACCTGGTACAGCCCAGTGACCAGAAGAAAATGTTGACATGTACATTTCTGCAAACCATGGATACATTGTATTTGTACATTTCATACATATTATATGTAAAGTGATGTAGTATATAAGCTAACTTTGTCATCAGGAGGTGGAGGGGATGGTGAATGGGGTGACACTAGGTGAGACACCTGCCATTGGTGCAGACTACTGCAGAACATTGTTTGAGACCAACAAACAAAAAAGGTTGCTTTTCAGCAAGACATCGCTGTGTTTTTAGCGGCTTTTTAGCCACCAATACGGCTGTTTTTTTGAGCAACCTGTGGTTGTGTTTTCTGCTTGGATGGTGCCACGCAGAGCAGTTGGTTATTACAGTGACAGTGCTGCCTGGATTGTGCCATCAGAACACCCCAGCGGTTTCTGTGCCTAAACATAACCACACGTTGACCATGGCGTTGTTGAAACATAAAGTTTCAGTGTATCCCCTACATAATAACCTACAAATGCAATGTATCTGTGATGCCAACATTTTTTTCTGGCAACTGGGCTGCATGGTAATAACTCCTTAAAAACCTAGAAGCTTGATAAATTCAGCTTATTCAAATTAAACCAAATCAAACAATGCTGCTTTTGTATTTATCCACTTTTAAATTTTCCTTATACTGAAATGTGTTTTAACATGGCTCTGGGAATAAAGGACAACTTAACATCTGCATGGTAGCACTATCACTGTGATCATATTAGCATGCTGACATCAGCATTTGGCTGTGCCTGAGTACAGCCTCACAGAGCCACTAACATGGCTGTGGACTCTTATTTGGCCACTTAGGGAGCTGTAAACAGAACCCTGACACACGGACAACACGGACCATTATTAGCATTCATATGGAGTTGTGTTTGTTGTAATTGTATTCACCTGACAAAGTCTAATATTCACCTTTAACTTTCTTTTGCTGTGTACCACCCCTTGAGGGAAATATGTGGCTCCTTAGCTGTCAAATGCTCCATTATGTTCACTATCTAGTCACTAACTTGTCTGCTGTTTGGAGCTGAGCAGGTGGCGTGCTGCGTATTTGTGTTTGTGGACAGCTGCCTGCTGCTAATGAGAGAGGTGAGACTGAACCCAAACAGTAAAGATAGGGGTTTTGATTCTCTGTGGGTACAGCTTTCACATATCACATAGTAATTTGATCCATTATTAATACAAAAATATGAATTAGAGCATCAGATAAATTCCTTTATAAAACTTAGAAGTCATTATTGAAGCTCAGTCTGCAGTTCACAATGCGAATCCCTTTCCTCATTAGAAAAAAATGAAGGTTGAGATGAAAAGAATTCATTTAGCTTCACATGACAAACACACTTCAAAAAGTTTTTTCCTACCTTGACAATGGGTTCTTCCATTTCCGACAAACCCATACTTGCAGTTACAAACTTTGCCGGAGCCACCTGACTTGTTGTCACATATGGCATTTGCATGGCAGGTGGCACACACATCTAGGTTCTGGCCTTCTGTTGGCATCTCTGAGAGGATAGAAAGACCATCCATCAGTCAGTATCTTCAGAGGTTTTTCACCCCTTCTCCAATTGTCAGTAAGATTATAAAAAAGAAGGAGTTATATCAAATAATCACAAAATGTGAATGGTGGGACAACACATTGTTATCAGTATTCTCACCTGCAATGACACAAAGTAGAAAAACCACGATCATTGCTCTGTTTCTCTCGTCCATCTCGAGAGTCTTCCCGTTGCTCTCTTCACTTTACCAGATGCTCAGCCTCCTCATCCCCATCTTCTTTTTTTCATTTTTTACTTCCGTCTTCCGACCATGATGACACTGAGCGTGTCTGATAAACAGGGGAATGGGTGAGCTGAGGTCACTCTGAGAAATAGCTCCTTTTCTCAATGGTCTTCTTGCAGTTGGTGGTTTTGTGGCTTAATCTGTCATTCCCTGACACATTCAGTTACACTTCACATGTGTTGATACGCTCAGTGCTCACACTGGTGAACTGCACACTCATGCTGCAGTGTCTGATAACGGCTATATTTGGCCTAACAAACCTGTTGGATGCCTTCTTACAAGCACTGTGGCATTTAAGATGTCTTTTAAAAGCGCATTAACCATATCATTAGTATATGTATAAAACCAAGACAGCCAGGTACGAGTATTTAACTAGATAGCTTACATCAAGTTAATATTAGTAATAGTATAGTAATAATATTAGTGACAAACATACGATTGTAGACCAAACATTTTATGAATATCATGGTGCAACCTCACCTTTTGTCTATATTTAAAGTAGTTTGTAACCCTTGTTTAATTAAATGTTACTTTATTTACCCTTTTGATTATAATCCAGAAATGTATGTTTGAAGTCAATGAAACCAACATCCCTCCTCATCCTAAAACAGGGTCTGTGGTGGGTGCTGAGGGGGTGTCAGTTGGTGTGCTGTGGGAAGGAGAGATAAGTGTGGTGGGCTGCTATCTCTCAGCCCAGCATGGTCCTTAGTGGGGGATCTCCATCACTCAAACCAAAAAGCTACCGCCTCACACCACTGCCTGCTGGACTGGACTGATTAACCCCAGTCTGTCCCTCAGAGCAGGCAGCCCCAAAACTGCCTATGTCCCAGCCCAAATCTTACTAGAACTGGTAATTATGCAGTCAGTGCAAATAAAAGTTGTTTCAACCGTTATTTCAAACCAAAGTCAGCAGGAAGCTATGGTTATTTGGCCATGTTTTTAATTTTAGAGCTAAACACTGTGGTATTTACTGCATGTCCAAGAGATCGTTGAGTAGTAAAACTTCCTGGCAGGACTGCACTTCTTATCTGCAGGACTTTCTTAGTGTCTGTTGCTATTCTTGCTAATTACCCAGTTCAGAAGGAAACCATGAAACCTCTAGTTCAGTCAGAAATGCTTACATCAGGGAATTGATCATTTGTAGCAAATGGTTTTAGAGTTAGATTTGAAAGGAGGGGCGGTGCTTCTTAGGAAGCTCTCAAATACACTTCATCATGATTTTGTTGGAAAAGTTAGTCTTTTAATAGAAACATAAATGAACGTGCTTTTTTTTATTATTACTAGTCCATACCCATTGAGTGCACAGTTGCCCACGTACAGTTTCACATGGTGTGTGTTTGGGATACAAGTCATAGGAAACTGCAGATTAAATAGTCAACTGAACCCATTAAGAAGAGCAATGTATTCAGACAGAGTTTTTGAAAAACGTGGGACAGACAGAATGACTGACTGACAGAATGACACACTGACAGTTTCCGTGATTATGTACAGCATACCATACCATGACTTAGTTATACCAAAAATTAAAAAAAACACAACAACATTCGGCCACAGGGGGAGCCACAGCGATTGGTCGCATTTTAGCCATTTTTAAGCATTTTTCTGTTGTTATAGCGCCACCCAGTTGCCAATTACAGTTAAATTTCTCCAGTCACCTTGAGGCATCCTGTTCTACATATCTACCAAGTTTAGTAAAAATCGATATGGTGGTTAGGCCTAGATGAGAAATTAGGTCTCTAGCGCCCCTATTTTGTTTGATTTGGTCAGTAATGGAGGGGTCCCCTCAGATTATGTGTGGTCATATGCCTACAAAGTTGTGTGGTGATCGGTGAAACCCTTGAGATGTTATACACCTTTATGTGATGAGCCACGCCCTCTGCAATATTCATTGCCTTATAGAAGCTCAGTTTTAGGAAGTTTTCCAACTTTTGCCAAGAGGGAACTTTAGATATTGGTCCCTAGATTATGTTCACTGAGTTTCATGCAGATCGGTCAAACTTCCTAGGAAGAGATCGATTTTAAGTGTTTTTCAAAAAATTCAAAATGGAAATGGAAATTCTGTATAACCGGAAGTTATGGGTTCTTGAGGCAAATTTGTTCCTCATGAGGAGAGGCATCTCAAAGTTTCATGTCTCTTCGACATACGGGGCATGAGACATGCCCATTCAAAGTTTGCAATTTCAATCGGTTGCTACAGCGCCCCCCTTTGGCCAATTAATGTAATATTGCTTCATTCGCATCCTCCCATGACCCTCTACCACTGTGCCAAATTTCACGTGGATTGACCAAGTCAGTGAGGAGAAAAACATGGAACAGACACACCCACAGACAGAGTTTTCGTCATTATATAGTAAGATTAAATCAATAATACTCAAGATACTGTATGTCGGAGCCAGAGCAATTGTGAAAAGTGCCAGCTTATGATGGCTATGCTAACACCTCTATGAATATAAATAGCTGGTACAAATCAGCTGGTAGCTACACATCTATGAATGAGCCAGTGATTGTACAGCATAAATTAAACAGCTGATGCCAATCACCTAATGTAAGCATGACTCAGTTTAATGCTCTGCCTGAATTAATAGTATACTCCATGGACCTAAAATGCATTACTTCCTCAGGTCTAACAAATGTGTTGGACACACAGTCCCTTGGCTTAATGATGCAGTCATTGTACATTCTTATCTTTGGCATATTTATTGCAGTGTGGTTGTAGTTATCCCACATAAACAAACAGAGTATGCATGGAGACAAAAACAAGACACAATATTTGGTCATTGGAGTTATCTTTATTTGTTGTTAGCACCTGGTCTTTGTAGACCTGTTTAGTTATCACAAAGTCTGTCATTCAGATCAAATATTACAGGAACATGCATTTTTTAGTATCAAAATTATATATTAGACTCAAGAGATATGTTTGTTACTTGAAAATGATTATCTTAACCCACATGATCAAAAACTTTTAATGTAAAACTTAAAGCATTACGTCTCTCAGCATACATACATTTCATAATTGCCTAAATTAGGAGTGTTACAAAAGCAAATTAGTGGCTGACATTTGAGACAAACAAAAATCTGTTTATTGATTGATTATTTTTAATGTCCAATAAGGGCTCTGTAAAATTTGAGTAAAAGAAGAAGTCATTAACAAACTTACACCCCAGTTTGTCACCATACTTATAAATGTGCTCTGCTGCACATCAACAGCAACACATATATAAACCCAGTATGTAGAAATGTCTTCCCAGAGTGATCATATCAGTTGTCTCGGACAGTTTCACAGTCCTGATCTTGGAGACAAACTGCTGCAGGCTCCTGCTTGGTCATAAAACAGTGCAGAAACAGCAGCGTTTCTTTTCATGTGCAGTCTCAACTGCCTCAGGTGGAGATGCTTCAGGAGCTGGAGATTCCTCCTTACACTCTGACAATGATCCACTGGAAGTGGACAACAGCCTCCCACACACCAGTTCAGCAGCTTTTCCATCCATGACGGACATGTCTGTCACTGTTTTTTCTCTTAGAGACATGTCTCCATCATCATCATCATCTATCAGCACAAACTCCTTGAGGTACACCATCCCCACCCCATGAAGGCTATGGTTCTCTGCTGAGTCCTCCATAGTGTGGATGTCCACAAAGGTCAGAGTTGAAGTCTCTGTCAGGGTCTCATGTGGGTCTGTGGAATTGTCCTCTGGCCCTGAATAGGCCTGGCTGCTTGAATCTGTCATCCACATGGTGTTCCTTTGGGCACCCTCATCTTTCATGCTGCACCTCTGCTCCTGGCTGTTAGAGATGATGTCTGGAACAGAGGACATCTTGCCTGTACCATCTTGGCTGGTGACCTGGTCTCTCTTGGTGTGAGATCCATTTTCTATAGCATGACCATTCCCAGGATACATCTTATAAGCCACACTCTGGTAGTCATGGCAGACCTGCACACTGCTGCCCCCTGGTGGGGAAGAGAGGGGGACGCTGGCAGCAGTGTTGCCTTTTCCTTGCTTCTTCATGTATTGCTTTTACTGCACTGAGACAAAACAGAAAATTAGAAGTTAATTCCTTACCTTGGAAATTGTAGTTTGAAAAAGCACCTTAACTCAAGATTTATATGACAGCTTTAACTTTGATATAGACAATAAGATGTGGTTGCAAGCCCCAGAGAAAGCTAGTTAATAAAGGGACAGTTCACCCCTAAATCAAAAATAAATATTTTTCCTCTTACCTGTAGTTTTATGTACACTCAAGCACTCTAGTTGCTTGTGGTATTCAAAGGGCCAAAACCAGAACAGAAATGTCTCTTTAGAGAAATCATGACCCGGTTACTCAAGATAATCCACAGACCTCGCTTTGTACTGAACTACACCTGCCAACCATATCACTGCGCAGAAGTAAGCATGCATCTATTGCAAGCTCACCTAGCACCACTGCGGTTACTAATGTTACAGCTCAGCCAAGGAGGACACCATTAATTTTTACATCTCACACTGTCACAAGCACAAGCCTCTCATCTATGAGTAGATGCACGCTTCCTTCTGCCCATTAATCTGGTTGGTGGGTGTAATTTAAGAAAATGGTTCCTACATGAAACTGCTCACAAGGTCTGTGGATTATCTTGAGTAACCAGGACATGAATTCTGTAAAGAGACTTTGCTGTTAAGTTTTCAAATGTATATTTTGGTACTTTGAGCACCATAAGCTGAGTGCCTTTTAGCCCCATGATACTGGAGAGAAGGGAGACATCTCTGCGGCCAAAATCTCCAACACTGTGCAACTCACACCAAAACAATCTGAACAGATAAATAGCACTACAGCTAAGAGGGAAAATATGTATTTTTGATTTTGGGATGAACTGTCCCTTTAAGATTGACTTTTTTTTTCAACAATAGAAAATTACAGACACTACAATGGCACACTTCCCCCCAGTATACATGGTACTACTGTGCAGTTGCAGTATTATTATTCTTCACATCTTTCACTAACACAGCAACTGGAGCAGGTAATAGTAAGTGCAGTGGACTTTATGAACAACAGTGCGAGAGAACAAGCTGTCATTTAGTATTGGCCTCTCTGAATAAATAAATGAAGCTGGTACTTTTAAAAGAAGCAAAAAATAACTTAAATTCCCTGAGGATCAGCTCTTTGAAGAAGGAGACAGACAAACTCCTCTAAAGTGCCTTAACCAAGGAATGCGTGTGTGTTTCATCTCCCTCAAACACACACACACACACACACACACACACACACACACACACACACACACTCCCTCCCCTTTTCTATACAGACACAACACAGATAAAGTGATCTGAGCACTTCAGAACATACTTTAGGCAGACTGGCAGGAGTTATAAAAGGTACATGCTGTAAAAATGTACTTTTAACCATAGCTACAGTAACAGAGTAGTAGGCTATTTATGAAAAGGTAATGTTAAAAATGTATTTTGTGGGATAAAATTTAAGGAAAAACATGTGACGGACAAATCACTTTGGAACAAATGAGATACTTACACTGAAAAAAAGATTAAAAGACTTCTTCAAAGAGGAGCGTTTCCACTTTACGTCTTTACATGCTGAATGCAATCCATTCTGTACAGAAGCTTAACAGACTGACCCGGTTACACTTGACTGACTCAAATGCATGACAGAATCGGGACTCTATAAATGAATTATAACGGCAATGTACATGTTCAAGCGGGAGTCAGCGTGCTCCACTCCAGCTTGTAGCAGTGACTGAGCAACAATAGATGAAAAATAGATTTGATTTAAACACAGTCACTGCATTAACACTTTAGTTTGCACTTGGTTGGCGGCTGTTTTTGTCTCAGCAGTGACTAGGGGAAGGTTGGCAACAGCTTTAACTGTGGCAGAGGGAACTTATATAAACAGGACAAGGAGAAATCAGACAATAATGCTGAATGAATCCTGTCTAAAAGACCCCAGAGTCACCTTATAAATAATTTTATTGCCAATCATGAGTTGAAGCATTTAGTAGCCTAGGTTTCCTTTGTAGCATGACAGAACATTTATATCCTATAATAACTAATATTAGGCTATATGTCAATTACCACAGTATCAAAACAAGAATAAATACAGTTTCATACATACAGAAATTATAATTTTCACAAAAATACACTTAAATTCAAATATTAAAAAATGCTTTTACCTTCCACAGTTGAACTCTTGCCCGAGTTGCAGTAATGAAAATCACATGGCAGAGGTAGGATGACCCAGCATGTGTCCCTCTGATCTGTGGTACAGCTGCTGAAACTGATTTCTCCGCTGCTGGAAGTCTATAAACATAGACTCTTCACACACGCCCTCCCCTCATCTTATAAACTACAACTGCTCCCAGTGTGTGCAGGGAGGCAGTCACGGGATGCTCCACTGATTGCAATCACACCATCACCACTGCTATTTTTTTCCCCTTCATTTAAGCTTCTGCTTAACCTGTGTTTTTTTAATGATCTTCATATTCACAGCTACACACATTTCACCTGGAAACAATCAGAACATAAAATAAATATTCACTTTTGGGGCACATTTTCTGTTAAACAAGAGGGAACACCAGCAGGAAGTTAGCTTAGCTTAGCATAGATGCTGGAATCAAAGGGGAACATCAAGCCTGGCTCCGTCCAAAAGTAACAAAATCTGCCTATTAGCACCTCCAAGGCTCACTTATCAACGTGGTTCCTTCGCATTATTCCCTTTATGAAATGTTGCAGTGGTGCAGGGATGCATGGCTTCACATTCAGTCCCATATGCACTGAATGTGTTCCTATAAATAATACAGTAGGACAGACCTTCACATACATGAACGCTGCAAAAAGGAATAACGGAAGGATCAAATATTGAAAAGTCTTTGCTCCCTGTAGGGATGATGTCTGCATTGGCCTGTTGTCAACCAGGAGACATACCATTTAACAAAGTGCTCATGTACAGTAGAGCTATGAAACCTACAGCATGTAGTCCTCCAGATAAAACTCGTCAGAAATCTTTCAATTCCAATTCTTTCCCAACTTTTATGGTAACAGGTTTAAAATAATATCTGACAAGAACACATTGACCCTGTTCAGACATGGTATTAACATGCGTCTTGGGTGATCTGATCACAAGTGGACAGCACTTAATACAAGTGTTAACAACCACCAAGACGCATTGTGATCTCTTCACTCAAACCACTTGCCGAGGTGGTCCAGGACACATCTGACCACAAATCTTTTGTTGTGTAAACACTAAACCTGATACATCCCCAACAAGGACTACATCATTGCTGCAGGATGGAGTGGTTGTTTTGGTGACAGCGTGCTAATGCTCTATAACTTACCCATTTTATGTGAGTTGGGCGAAGTTTTGCGTGGCCGTCCATCATTTTGCCCCATAAAAGAAGATGTTGAATTCTGCTGACATCTACCTCAGACTGCACTGACACAACTGCTGCTGTGACAAGCAAGCATGTTACAGAGCAGCTAGCAAAAGTGTGGATGTAATAACTGTGCGCAGGGCCGTAACGAAATCTGAACACAAGCGGTCAGCTGGAGATGATAGACACAGGTGTGAACAGCAATGTGTCTTGGCTTTCCACTTGTGTTTGGATCACCGAAACGCATTTTAATACCAGGTCTACTCAGGCTCAGTGACGTCAGAACTGTAGTATGAATTACTAATACAGCTGAATGGAATGAAGCCAGTGGCCATGAGAGCTATATAAGGAATAGTTCTATAATTTAGAAAAAATACACCTATTTGCTTTCTTGCTTGTGTCTGTACGATAAGTATGGAGCAATCGCCTGCAGCTGGTGATAAGCTTTGTCCATCATAAAGCAATGGCCCAAAGTTATAAAGTACATCTACCAACACATCAAAACAGGTTCTATCTCATTCCTCTATCTAAACTCAACAGAAATGTAAAAAAAAGAAAAAAAAAAAGCCAGCTTAGCCGTTTCCCTCTGTGACCAGTCTATGCGAAGCTAAGCTAAGCACCTGCTGGCTGTGATATTATCTGTCTCCTTACACCTTTTCCTAACATAGAGCAAGTGAGTGAACTTTGGTGGGTGGAGCATGATAAAGTGTCCAGTCTGTGTGACAAGTCTTGCTGGGCAACATGGCATCACGATGAATGTAGTTCCACTGTTTGGCCACTATGAAGATTCAAGCCTCCAGGAGCCTGCTGAGCCTTGCTTCCAATTTCCCCAGAGACCACTCAGGATATTGAAGAGAAAAAAATACCGTACCATGCAGCCCGAAAAAAGCATTTTCTCCAATGAGTACCACTGTAAAAGACACATCTGTAAAAGTGTTAACAGGACGCCTCAAACTGCAAACAAGGTCAATTATGACATTGTTTTATGATTTTTTTAACCATGGTTTTCTATTTGTAAAACTTTCCTTAAGCTGAGAAAAGCAATTAAAACATCTTTGTTGTCATCACAGTGTGAAGTCCATGAGTCAGCTTAGTGGCCTTGTGGTAGAGTGTCCGCCCTGAGACTGGGAGGTCGTGGGTTTGATCCCCGGCCGGGTCATACCAAAGACTATAAAAATGGGACCCATTGCCTCCCTGCTTGGCACTCAGCATCAGGGGTTGGAATTGGGGGGTTAGATCACCACATGATTCCCGAGCACGGCACCGCTGCTGCTCACCGCTCCCTCAGGGGATGGGTCAAATGCTGAGAACAAATTTCACACATTCAGGTGTGTGACAATCAGTGGAACTTTACCTTTACCTTTACCTTTACCTTTATGAGTCGGGACAGGGAGAGACGTTACTGCGAAAGTAAATCATGGAAAATGTATAATAATATTACAATATTTTTCTTTTGAGTGAACCTGGAATCTAGAAGCTGTTTTGGCGTATGTGCCAACTCCATTGTAATGTGTAGGTGCCATCTTAGTATCCAGTGTTTAGGTATTATTACACATCTATGCAAAAACTGGCTTAAAGCCTTGCACGCTTCCTGGGTGTCTGAATTAGTTAGCACAACTGTATTTCACAAGTTGCGGAATACTCCAAAAAACACTCCAGCGACTGTAATCTTTGTCTTAGATATACTTACTGATATGAGGACTTTGTGTGGAATAAGGGTATGAATATTTCTCAGAAAGAATATAACAGTGTTATTAAAAGTATATCACCAAAGCTACTGCTTCTCATCAAAAGTGCATTGTTATGGGGTGTTGGTGGCTTAGTGGTAGAGCAGGCGCCCCATGTACAAGGCTGTTGCCGCAGCGGCCCAGGTTCGACTCCAGCCTGTGGCCCTTTGCTGCATGTCACTCCCCCTCTCTGTCCCCTTTTCACGCTCATCTGTCCTACCAAAAAAAAGTGCATTGTTATATGGCCCTGTGACTGGAGAAATTCCCAAACTTTTAATTGATGGGCTATCTGATTGCATGTGCAATAATCACCATATTAGAAAAATACTGACCTCAGATCAAAGTTACTTTCCAAAATCAACTCTTTTATGGAAACTAACTTTTCCAGAAATCTTAGAAGAATAAATTTCTCATTCCAAATAAGATAAAAGAAGTACACATATGATTTTACATAAATACTACTCCTATAATGATTTTTACCTAAATTTAAGGAAGCTGTTTCTCCAATATGTTCTTTCTATAAAACAGAAATTGAATCAATGTCTCATTAATTCTATCATGTACTTACTCTCAGACATTTTATTGAAAGTCTGTCTGCTGATTAATACAACTTTTGATGGATTGGCGTGAATATTAGAAGACACGGTCTTGTTTCTAAAGTGTAATACAGGCTCACAATCTACTGACGAGGCTCTCAAACATATATAGTTGGCAAGTATCACATCCGTAAGGCTCGAATGCTTCAGATTACACCAAGTATTCGTCTTTTTAACAACATCTCTTTGACTCGGTTTCTAAGATAACAATGAACAAGAAAGCTTTCCAGACCTCTCAAAAACATTGGAAAAACTATACCTAAATAACAAACAAGCTGTATTATTCCAAGGTTTACATCTCCCTTGTACAATTTAATGTTTGTCTGTATTAGTTTTGTTTTATGTTCTGTTGTTTGTTTTTATTTCACATATGATGTTAAAATTATTATTTTAAATGTTTCGATATATATCTATATGTGTAATATGATCAATAAAAAAACAAGCAAACAAACAAACAAAAAACCACTCCACCAGCTATATTCGCATGAGTATTTCATTGGGAACACAGCAATGTGATTGAAATTTGTTAGTTCTGGCTTTTGTGTGTGTGTGTCTTTGTGTACATGCTTTATTTGTGTATGGCCTTTACATTTTTTTTAAAGAAGCCCCACTGATGTCTGTAAGGCAGCCCTGCACTGGATGTGCATGTTTTCCTTTGCTTTTTCACTGTGATGTACAAACCAAGTTTCTCTCAGGGGTGACTGACACAGCTGTTGTCATTTATATAACAACTTATCCAACATGCACATAACAAAGTGATTCAGCATTATATAAATCAGTTCCTTATATGCATCTGGACATGGCACAATTTATTTTACAGTGGAAGTTCTTATTTTTATGTTTTTTTTCTTTTTTTAAAAAAGCATTTTCTATAAAAGAAAATGCATTACCATTATCAGAAGGTAGTGAAGCAGTTGCACTCAATGAAGCTGATAACTGCTGATAGCTGATATCTAACAAAAAGCTGGCTCAGACACAGAAACATCTAATAATACACACCCTTGTGAGAATATTGGATTTAAATTTGCAATAAATAGACATTATTTTATGATCGTATGAAACCAACTTGAGTGTTAAATATTGATTAGATGATTGTGCAGACCAACCATGTTGCATTTAACTGTGTTGTCAACACTGTAGCAGAAAAAAACAGAAAAAGTACAATACAAGGCATGCAAAAGTTTGGGCCCCCCCTTGTCAAAATGTATTTTACTGTGAATAGTTAAGTAAGTAGAAGAAAAGACAAGATGCTTTTAACGTTTTAAGCAAGTTTAATGTATTATATTTGTTTTATACAATTTTAGAGTGAAAAAAAATAAAAGGAGCACCATGCAAAAGTTTGGGCAACCCAAGACATTTGAGCTCCCAAACAGGGTCTCAGACTTTAATCAGTTTGTTAGGGTTCTGGCTTGTTCACAATCATTGTTAGGTAAGGCCAGGTGATGCAAATTTTGAAGTGAAAATCCCCCAAACAAGAACTGGTTACAAAAGGTGTTTAGCAGCTATGATACTTGCCAAACGGGGCGCTACCAAGTACTGACCATGCAGGGTGCCCAAACTTTTGCTTCAGGCCCTTTTCCTATCTTGTTATTTTTAAACTGTAAAAGACCGAAATAAAAAAATAATAAAATGTTGAAGAAATGTGTTGTCTTGAAGTTATTGCCTTAAGGAAATCAAGTCATCTTTTGCTTGATTGCACAGTGAATACAATTTTGATGAAGAATGCCCAAACTTTTGTGTGCAACTGTATCAGCATTTGACCTTCTATGTTAATCAGTCACCTCGAAATCAAACCCTTCATGTGAGAGATGTTGCTTCCATGTTGCTGCATATGGAAACTGACGCTTTGGGCAGGAGACTGATCCCCATCTTTGGTTGTCTCCCAAAACTTGATCGACACTCTGCCTGGTACCAACAGAGGCTCTTTAAAC